ACTGCTCGGCAGACTACGACGTGGAGCAAGTGCAAGCTGCTCTGGTGGAGACCGTGCAGAAGAAGATCATGTCCCACGTGCTGCAGGACCTGGTAAGGCCGGCCGCAGAGCTGCGTGTATCAGAATGATTCTGCCAAGTTTCGCTTTCGGGGGCGACGATTGATATGCGTTTCCTCAAAGTATTTTTTTTTAGATTCGGCCAATTGGATTGTGACACTGTCCACACCATGGCCTAATCTTATTAGAATGACGCCACAGTACCTTTAATACACCAGCAGTATTAAATTAACCAGAGTGGTCTGTCGGATTTGAACTGTGAACCTCTGTGGCAATCGTGCTGCCACTGGGCCACATCAGAGCCCCAATAGTCAAGCTCCAAACGTTATTCTCTTAACCCTCTGTCTTGATTGTAGCCCTCAGCAACTTTTGCCTTGCACTTAACATGTCACATACTGCGTGCACCCAGGAGCTATGCAGGGGATCGTTGTCTTTGCACCCAGGTGCTCCATCTGGCCGTGGTGCACAGGGTATTCAAAAAGTCCCATGGAATCTTCACACTGGTGTATTGGATGATTTGATCAACACCTCCCATGAAATTGAACATCTCATTTGCAAGGATTGTCCAGGGTATCAACTCACATATAATGACATGTATATACATATGTAATGACTGACTTCCATGACACGTCGTGTAGAGGCTACTCTTCTTTATTTCGCGTACGGGCACATCACAGGCCAACGTTATCTTCTTCCTCTCCAAGTACACACCTAGATATTAACGTTCTACAGACTACACACGCGGTTGATCACACGGCGGGTTCCGCCCGTCCGCTCCCGGTCTCACCGCTGGCTGACGGCGTGCCAGGGAGGGCGGTGGAACTCCGCAGGAGATCCGCCACGTGGCTAAACGATGGAGAGCGATGACGGCGAGCAGCGACGCAGTCCGGACCCAAGACTCCACACACCGACCTCGAGTCCTCCGCTTATATTGCCCCAGGCGCGGCTAGGCTCCGCCTCCAGCCACGCCCTGTCGTGGAACTTTCTAGCTGGTTCTCGGAGTTTCTCGGCCAGCCCCGCCCTTCACCTTTGGCCCAGATACCTCTCCCTTTTGGGGATTGGATCATGTTTATAGTGTGCCTGTACCCGTGCTTCCCTTTTCCAACCAGTAGATGTCACTATATAATTACACGTATACAAAGATCCCCCCCCTTTCGCGTTTGTTGACTGTTGGGGCAAGTGCTGTCGCGAGCACCAATGAAGGCCGGCACGGTGCACGAGCGGGTGGGTGGCCACCACCATGCCCGGCTGCCTTAGTCTCCCGAGTGTCGATGTTTAGACACCACACCAGGTACTCATTGGAGGGTGAGTTGACCTCGGGGAGGCCTTGGACCGGTTCAGATAATCGTCACTGGATATTGGCCGTGAGCGAGAATCGAATTCGGATCACTCGGTTTGTAGCACAGTGCGTTAACCACTGTACAACTGCCACAAGCATGCACATATACACTCGCACACATATATCACAAACACGTCATGACACTTATAGAAACATATCTATAATTTCGCAGTTTGCATGTATACCATGAATATCTCACCCACATAAATAGAGTTAAACGGTGCACACTGCCGGTGCATACAAAATGTACCCAGCTCTTTCAGACGTTGACTGTGCGTTTTTATGAGGTGTTTCTTATAGTTGAGACTGGCGGCATGTATTAGTGCGTCTGGGAGACCGTTCGAAAGGGAAGCAGCGGTGTCTGAGCGAGAGAGCCTGTGTGGGTTTTTACTCTCGGGGTGATTAAATCTTATCTTGCTGAAATCTGCTGTGTCTATACAATAGTGCTTGTATGCTGAATTTGTTTAAACAGAAGAACCACGAATTTCAAGCTCAAAAATCGTCTCTTTCACCACAGGTGTGTGAGAAGTGCAAGGGGGTGAAGGAGGCCAATATGCCTGCGTTCTGCGACTGTGCCGGTGATTTCCAGCTCGCCCACCCTGCCCAGGTCCTATGCCTTTCCACACACAAGACCCATGATGTTCCCCCATGTACACTCCGCCCTCATCATCCATCTTGCACTCCCTTATATTCATCACAAGAGCAGTCTGCAGTTATCTAGAGACGTGGTGTGAACAGACTCTTATGGGAGCCCCGATGTGGTCAGCGTGAAATGTCTGTGTTATAAATGGCAATCCGTTTCCCCAAATGCGTGGGGACATGAGGTCGTCCAGCCAGGCAGAGGTCGCACGCCGGGCAGCGTATACTCTCTGCTGCTACTGCTCCATTATTAGCTTCTCAATGCAACATTGATGTTTTTTTTATGAAATACCTTATATGTGTATATGCTGGTGTAGAGGGCAACAAAATGATTAGGTGGACAAACCTGGCAGGAGCGGGTGGGGCAATGGGCAGACTGGGCGGGGCAGTGCAAATCGAAATCGTGATGTCATAGCGGCCAAATATTCCACCATGCGTCGCTACCAGCGTTCTATCCTCCACCAGACTCCACAGTTTCTGCACAGGAGAGATACGACCTCCGCAATCTGCCCCAACATTCTCCCACCATCTGGCTTTAGGTCTTCCCTTTGGTCACTAGATTCTGACATCCATCATACCTCCATAGAGGCTAGTCATTGGCTTAATAACCTCGATATGTGCAGAAATGTAAATATCACCTTGCCAAACGAAAGAAGATCGGCATCATGGGGACCACTCCAATGTCTATCTCTGCAATCGGCCTTTCCCTCCAAGAGGGGTGGAGAGTGATTGTCACGTCACATTCGTAAAGGCAGTTTTTGACAGAAAATCAACGTGCTCTAGGTTACACATGACTGCAGGAGAGACGTGAAGAAGTACCAGCAGGGGATCGGGTCATGCTTTGTGTTTGTGGTTATTTGGAGAGCGATGCTGTCTTCAAAGCTTGTCTCCAGAAATCATGTCTCAAGCCACTGTTCCTTAAAAATATGAGTTAAATAATTAACCTGCACAATCATTTGCAAATCCATTGTCTTGTGTGCATCCTATCACTTTTGTTTTGACATTGCACATTGCATTGGCTTGTGTTGTGTCTCTAGGAGTTTGTGGAGCAGTTGAAAGTGTTCAGAAACATTGCGAGACACTATGCGATGCCGTTCCTGCTGGAGACGGTGAACTGGATATTGCAGGGCAGCTCGGGCGAATAGAACATAACCACAACCCTGGTGGTGGCGCTGCATGGCAGAGAACACGAGCTGGATTCGGAACTGCGACGAGGTGTAATAGGCAATCAAGACGGACATCAGGATGTCGTCGTGGCTAAAGCTGTTTGATGCCACCACTCCTCGCCAGCGTGCTCTACTCTCAGTAGACATGCGACCGGTCACAACGGTATCACACCAGTCTCCCACGATCTGCTCTTAAGTCTTCCCCTTGGTTACTAGACTCTGGCAGACCATTCCAAAGCCGTCTTGGTAATCGGCCCTCCCCCCATCCTGCACACACATGTCCCACCCAGCTGCAGTGCAGCTGTTTTTGCCGATCCTATTTTATAACGGGCATGAGGAAGCCGGGAGGTTGTATTAGATGCTCCACGAAAACATTTTCCTCCACAGTCATCTGCTGACATGACTGAGATCTCAGATTTTGCTGTTGGGGAACAGTATTCCATACACACACTTCGTTTGCTTCACAGTGGACGTTCAAGATCCAATGCCATTCGAAAAATAATAGTTGGTCATGTGTCGACTTCACACCCGCAATTTTATTGATAACTAAGCAATTATTAAATTGGGGAAAATATACCCAACAACATCGCCTACTGGCAGACGAATGCCCATTTGTAGGCCAGTGCTGTGTACACCTTATGCTGTGTCGGGAGATAGTGCCACTGCTGGTCTTCTTGGCTAGGCTGCAGCAGAGCATTAAAATGGTTGAGATGAGATGCGGTAAGGATCTTTGAGTTGCTGAGAAAAGTAAACAAGCACCCTACACATGCCATGTTTTGTCCACAGGCACCTGCTGGCTGGTGTTAAGTGAGAAGCATTGATTGAAATCCAACAGTCATTCTGTGGTGTCTTTCAAGGCTTTTGCCTATGTGGTGTTCTGCTCACAGTGCAGTTACACAGTGCTTTACGTGTCCCAGTTGTCTTTACATTAGAATTGGGATCGGCTGTGGTTTCATTAGCAATGTTATAAAATATATATTTTATATTTCACCAAATAGTAAGTTGTGGAAAAGAATACACGTGACCAAGAAATAAAGTGTTTACCTCTTAGAATTGAATTACAACAGTGCAAAAGGTAGAAGTACAGCCCTGTAATTGCATGGTACTCGTGGCGAAAGGGCATCCACTGGAGTGAATTATAGAGGTTATTTAGTCGACTCTTCCACGTTGACAAGCCGTTGGAAGAGGTGTGCCTACCCACTCTACCCCACCACATGTGCTCTACTGATTGACTGCGCTGTACCCATTTGTCTGCTGGGTGGACGGAGGTGGTGGAGAGGGATTTGAGAAACTTGCCACCATCGTTTCAACTGTAGGATGGAACTGAACCGGCAACCGCTGGGAATGATGTTGAGTGCTAACCATCGATTACAAAAGGGCGAGTGTGTCTAGGCCTTTAGATACTGAGCTGGTTGGTCGGTTGACTCGGCTTATAATCCCTCCAGGTTCGATAAAATAAGGATCAATTTGTGGAGAAGTCATCGGTGGATGTCCTATCGACTTGCTTCCACCATACGGATATGGAGGAGGTTCCGTTACTGTGTCAAAGTTGTAAACAGATGGGCACCGTCTCGATGCTAATTTGAGCATGAAATTACCTTGAGATACCAAGCTGCTAATAAAGTTGCCTGCGAAAAGTATCTGGAAACATGGAAATGTTTTATTTTCATTGTTAATAAAATAAAATACATGCAACAAACTTTGAGAACGGGCTTTTTTTTCTTGGAATTAATTTTGTGCAGCTAGAAAGACCCTGGCCAGGTGGCTCAGTGGCACAGCGAGTGGCTCATAGTCGGAAGTTTGTGAGTTCAGTATCCTGGTTTGTGGTTGATAAAATGAGTACTAATTTTTGTATATGCCAACAGTGGTTGTCTGGCAGACTGTCTCCACCATAGGAATGTGGACTTATCCACCACTGACTCAGGGCTGTAAACAGATGGGTACCAATGCCTCAATGCTCATTTGAGCAGAGAGTCGCTCTGGCTTTGAGAGGGCCACGCAGCCAAGGCATCGTTAAGACTTCAGGTAGACATGGTGATCCCGTGGCCTCGTGCCCTTGCGACATCGCAGACAGTGTCTAGGAATCCCTTCGGCCCTCCTGAGCGCATGAAATCTCCAAGCTGCGGCAACCATCTCCACCTGTTCAGCACACGCCGCGGGGCACCCAAACGACTCGGTTAATGCTTTGTATGAGAGACAAAAAAATATCCCCCGTATAGCCTTAACAGACTGTTGGGGAAAGTGCTGTTCGCGAGCACTTTGTAAAAGCTGGAACGGTACACAAGGGGGTGGGTGGCTCGGATCCATACCTCCGATTAGCACGATTAGCTATGTATGGTGCGAAAGAAGTTCTACAACATACATACGCCCGACCAGCTTTGTCTCACCAGTGGCGATGTTGACACACCGTACCAGGTACGCATTTGAGGCTGAGTCGACCTAGGAGAGGCCCTGGACCGGTTCAGATAATTGTCAATGGTTGTGGCTGTGAGCGGGAATCGAACTCTGGTCACCGGGTTCGTAGTACAGCACGCTAACCATAACCGCTCCCCACTGATATGACACAGGCGTATGCGACCATACTCACTGGTATGACTTGCTCTCGCATGCTCTGTTGCTCCAGTGATGCCAGCTCCTCTGGAGACAGAAGGAGAAGCCTCAATCCTCCCAGGACTCCTTGCGCAACCTTGCTCACCGGCTCTCCTAACACAGCCTGAAGCATGCAGCACAGACAAACCACCCACCATATCAGGTGGATAAATACACGTAAATCTCGTTTCTATGTGGAAAAAAGACCAGCTTTGATTTCTGTTCTCGTTTTTATTATGCATATTTATCTAGGATAACTTTCCTGAGTTTCAAAACTTTTAGATTATTTTTTGCAGTAGTGAGTGACAATTGCTATAATACTAATAAATTTGTGCATTTGGTATTCCCACCATTGTTATACTGCAAGGCTATCACAAAAGTTTTTTTGTTTTACAGATATAGTCTGCAGTCGTTTAAAAGGGGTGATCTATGTGTAATTCGAATTGAGTCATTTATGGATACTCTTTTGAATATGGTAGATATAGACCATGATTAAACTACTTGAGACAAAGTGAAACAGCTCCTTTGTGAAAGCCCTACACTATTAGAATGGCACAAATACCAGATTATTATTTTACTCTTGATTTGAAGCTTTCATGACTGCAGTAATTCATACTCTTTGGTTCTTTCGGTAAAGTCACGTAGATAGAAAAAATAACTCGTAGATCAGGACGTTTCGATAGCAACACAAGCCACCATCTTAAGGTGAAACAATACAGCAGGCGGACTTCTGAGGAGGAAATGTAGCGAGAGAGCTACTGCAACCAAAGGCTGTATACGTTTGTGGTGGGTACAACCCAAGGGGGTAAGTGGGTGGGACTAGGGATGGAATTTGCAAGTGAATGTAATCGCAGGGAGGGTCGGGGTGGGTGACCTCAGCTAATCCGAGGAGGGGGGAGGGGGGGCTGCCGCAACGGTCGAGAGGGTGGGGGTGAAATTTACAGAGGAAAAAAGCAATCTGTGGAAGGACGTTGATCAACCAGGTATACTGTTGACTGTTGTATTGGCCGACTCTCTGAGTTGCATTACATTTCTAAGTTTGCTATCTTTTTTCTATCACCTTTTTCCCTCTGTAAATTTCACCCCGACCCTCCCCCTCCTCGGATTCGCCGAGCTCATCCACCCCTACCCTCTCTGCGATTACATTCACTTGCAAATTCCATCCCTAGTCCCGCCCACTTACCCCCTTGGGTTGTACCCACCACAAACGTATACAGACTTTGGTTGCAGTAGCTCTCTCGCTGCATTCCTCCTCAGCAGTCTGCCTGCTGTATTGTTTCACCTGAAGACGGTGGCTTGTGTTGCTATCAAAACGTCGTGATTTATTAGTTATTTTTTCTGTCTACGTGACTTTAGCGAAAGAACCAAAGAGTATGAGTATTATGTTAATGTGTATGCATGACTGCGCTCATAGAATAATAGATGCCTTGTAGATGTAAATGCAGGGATACTCACAGAGTTGACATTTGCCCATTGCGTAACCGCCGTGATCAGATCGGCCTCGTCGATATCCAACTCATCGCTTTGGAGCAAAACCGAGAGGGCATGGTCGGACAGCTCCCAAAACCCTGGTGTCCGAACCACATCCTGCAACCATCGGACGAGGTTGTATTATTATTTTGATTACTATGCCTATTTAACCAGGACATCCTCGCTGGTTCTCAAGCCTTTCTTTCAGAAGGGTCCTGCCAAGTTTTTTTCAGGAGGGGGTGGCGATGTTCTGTGTGTAATCCCAATTAAGTAATTTACAGGTAATGTTGGGATTGGGATATTTGGCCAATGCCAGGTGTCGTGTGGTTTATATTGGCGATGGTGATGGTAGGGAACTGGAAAAATCTGAAGGAAACCCATGCAGAACAAGGAGAATATAAACTGAACACAAGAAGGTGGCCAAGTTTAAAATCTAACCCAGGCCCATCTTGTTTGAAGCACAAGCATTGCAACTACCCAACCTGCTGCCCGAATTTATGGCTCAGTAGATGAGTTTTGAGGACTGAGAAATATTAACTATTCCTGTGGAACATTCAATGAAGCTATTAAGATTGGTGGAAGCAATGCAAACCCAGAGCTCTCATTGGTCAACCTCTTTTCCCCGAATCCAGCCGGCCCTCCGGTTCCACAGTAGAGGGTCAATATAATAAGTACAAATTTGTGGGGAAATCAAGGGGTTCTCTGATGGATAGATATTCCCTGACAAGAATGTGAAATTTCCACCACTGGCTCAACTGAAAACAGGAAAGGAGTACCACCTCAGTGCTTATTTTGGCAGGAAATCACATCTGACTTTTAACTCACTCTTATTTTCAATTTTTCCATGACTGTAGCCATGGATTGAGGAATCTGCAGTTATTTCCATTATCTATGTATTCTTGTAGAATGTATGAATTGAATGACACTTGCTATGAAGGAAGTATCTGCATAGCAAGGCAGTGTCTCATTCTGTTAACGTGTTTAGGGTCTGTGTGAAGTGCCGGACCCTGATCGTACATTCATCCTGTTTAAAACCAGGGGATATCACTTGTGTGTAACAATGTCTGTGCTTTACCTTGCGTCTAAGGGGAGATTCACAGTAATACTGATGTAATGATATAGTGACATGTTTATATAAGTGTCATGACGTGTTTGTGATGTATGTGTGAGAGTGTATATGTGCATGCTTGTGGCAGTTGTACAGTGGCTAACGCACTGTGCTACAAACCGAGTGATCCGAGTTCGATTCTCGCTCACGGCCAATATCCAGTGACGATTATCTGAACCGGTCCAAGGCCTCCCCGAGGTCAACTCACCCTCCAATGAGTACCTGGTGTGGTGTCTAAACATCGACACTCGGGAGACTAAGGCAGCCGGGCATGGTGGTGGCCACCCACCCGCTCGTGCACCGTGCCGGGCTTCATTGGTGCTCGCGACAGCACTTGCCCCAACAGTCAACAAACGTGAAAGGGGGGGGATCTTTGTATACGTGTAATTATATAGTGACATCTACTGGTTGGAAAAGGGAAGCACGGGTACAGGCACACTATAAACATGATCCAATCCCCAAAAGGGAGAGGTATCTGGGCCAAAGGTGAAGGGCAGGGCTGGCCGAGAAACTCCAAGAACCAGCTAGAAAGTTCCACGAGAGGGTGTGGCTGGAGGCGGAGCCTAGCTGCGCCTGGGGCAATATAAGCGGAGGACTCGGGGTCGGTGTGTGGAGTCTTGGGTCCGGACTGCGTCGTTTAGCCACGTGGCGGATCTCCTGCGGAGTTCCACCGCCCTCCCTGGCACGCCGTCAGCCAGCGGCGAGACCGGGAGCGGACGGGCGGAATCCGACGTGTGATCAACCGTGTGTGTAGTCTGTAGAACGTTAATATCTAAGTGTGTACTTGGAGAGGAAGAAGATAACGTTGGCCTGTGCTGTGCCCGTACGTGAAATAAAGAAGAGTACTCTCTTCATGACGTGTCGCGGAAGTCGCTCATTACACTATCTTTCTAACTAAAAAGAAAACATTCGGAGGTCGCAGGGTGGCCCATGTGTGTCACTGTTGTCTCTGCACGCCTCACCCGCACGTGTTTCTCTATGAAGTGCACGCTGCTGTCTCTCAGCTCCTTCTGTCCGTACACAACGCTCGCCTGCAACACACAACCCACATCGCCACTCAACCATATTGTATGTGTGCCTTTTAAAGATACAGTAATCCCTTGCCAACCACGAATTTACCAACCGCGAGATTTGAGTATACGTGGATGTACTTCTGTATACCTATACTCTTTGGTTCTTTCGGTAAAGTCACGTAGGTATAAAATAAATCATGGTCGTCCTCAGGCAGAAAAAATATAATCCAGCAGTGGAACTGCTGAACTAGCGAGAGAGCAGCTACAACAAGGTTATATATGTGGCGATGGGCAAGCAAGTGGGGTCTGAGCTGTGTTCCTGTTTACCAACCACGAGCATCTCGGTTTCAGTGATAGGCGAATCACAAGTCGTGCCGAGTCGTGAAATAAAAATTGGCGCTACCGTGATGTTGTCTCACAGACTCCCACGAGGAGGCACCTCTGGGTCTGTAGCTATCCAATTATTTTCTCCACGTTGCTACCTCCACAAATGGTCAGATTCACGCTTCGTCTCACAAAATAACTGTATATTTTATTCTTTGGTTCTTTCGGTGAAAGCCATGTAGAAAGAAAATAAATTAAATAATAAAAGCAATCGTCATCAGGTAGAACTAAATTTGAGAGCTAAAACACAGACACGGAGACAGACACACAAGCAGACAACACAGAGACACATAGAGACACAACATAGACACACAGAGACCCAATGCCTCTGTGTCATGGCCTTAAATAGAGAGAGAGGTGGGTGGGGCAGAGAGAGAGGTGGGTCTGCTGGAGCAGAGAAATTAGCATACCCAGCAAGACTGGGTATGCTAATTTCTACTTCAACTCTACTCCTAAACTAAAAACATGCACCTATATCACTTTTCACAATACAAAAGAATAATAAAGAATGTAAATATTGAAATGCTTGAATATTCATTAATAAATACAAAACTATTTACCTTTTTTCAGGCAATTCAACAGATCTTCATATTTGAATGACTGGAAAGGTGTAGTGGAAGCATTTGTTGCACTGTAGGGACATCGTGACACTGTTGCGGATGGATGACGCAGCCTCCCGGGTGCTTCTCGTTTGATCTCATGGCGTGTGCCGTGTGACTTTTCGTGAATACATTCTATTTCCTTAATCAAAAGTATCCATAATCTGTCAATTGCGTTTACGTGAAATTTCGTAAACCAAACATTCAGAAATCGAAGGATATCTGTATCATTCTTTCTTTGGAGTATATGTTAAATTCATCCCCATGTAACCTCATTTTCTCACTGTGGCAGTGAGAGACCGGTAGTTAGGTTTGGGCACCTGCTATTTACAACTGTTCGGCGAATCCCAATGTTTTAGCCCCTCATCCCAATCTGTGTAAGTCCTGATTGTTTATTCGTTGGAAAGAGGATGGCTTTAGGTCTGGGCACATCTGCTATTCACAACTATGTGGCGACTTCGCGTCTGGTAAGTTAAACTTCGGCTAACCTTCCGCGTTATTCATCACGGAATGGAGTAACCATTCGGCCCGGTTTTGGAACGAGGATAGGTCAAACGTTCAGTAATTCTGGGAGGTTGAGGCCAAAATTCCTATTTAAATTCCACCTCAGAGCAACATATTTTTTCTCTTGCAAGTTCTGAGTACACTGCTTGTAAACTAAGACTCTGCGTGGTTTTTGCAAAAGGCATAGCTCCAGAGCATACATTGCTCCAGAAGCAAACTAAGTCTTTTTCCACCAAGCGGGCTCTATGCAGCATTGTTTAAAATTTTACAAAATCTTTGCACCAGGCAATCTTCAAGTGTGCTGCTCACAAAATAAGACTGTCGAGCTACTGTAGAAGGCAAAGCTCGCGAATAGGACTGCTCATAAGTAACCTTTGATTTATGTAATACGAGTTTATACAACTCATCGTGTAACATGTGCTTTTACGCACGCTTTGAGCCGAATGCTCCCTCCACTAAGCATATGTGGTTGTTAACACTTGAGCCCCTTCCCAAGGTGACTCGACACATGGCCTACAAATGGGCCTTAGTCTGCCCGTATAGGCGAAGAATGCTACGTGCAAATCCAATTGAGTCATTGATGGGTAATATTTCAAATTTGGAAAATTCGGACCATGGCACCAGGACAGAATGGTCTACTCTTGCAAATGACGTTAGGGGATCTTTACAGTGAGGGAAAAAAGTATTTGATCCCCTGCTGATTTTGTACGTTTGCCCACTGACAAAGAAATGATCAGTCTATAGTTTTAATGGTAGGTTTGTTTGAACAGTGAGAGACAATAACAAAATCCAGAAAAACGCATGTCAAAAATGTTATAAATTGATTTGCATTTTAATGAGGGAAATAAGTATTTGACCCCTCTGCAAAACATGACTTAGTACTTGGTGGCAAAACCCTTATTGGCAATCACAGAGGTCAGACGTTTCTTGTAGTTGGCCACCAGGTTTGAACACATCTCAGGAGGGATTTTGTCCCACTCCTCTTTGCAGGTTTTCTCTAAGTCATTAAGGTTTTGAGGCTGACGTTTGGCAACTCAACCCTTCAGCTCCCTCCACAGACTTTCTATGGGATTAAGGTCTGGAGACTGGCTAGGCCACTCCAGGACCTAATATGTTTCTTCTTGAGCCACTCCTTTGTTGCCTTGGCCGTGTGTTTTGGGTCATTGTCATGCTGGAAAACCCATCCACGACCCATTTTCAATGCCCTGGCTGAGGGAAGGATGTTCTCACCCAAGAATTGACGGTACATGGCCACGTCCATCGTCCCTTTGATGCGGTTTAGTTGTCCTGTCCCCTGAGCAGCAAAACACCCCCAAAGCATAATGTTTCCACCTCCATGTTTGACGGTGGTGATGGTGTTCTTGGGGTCATAGGCAGCATTCCTCCTCCTCCAAACACGGCGAGTTGAGTTGATGCCAAAGAGCTCCATTTTGGTCTCATCTGACCACAACACTTTCACCCAGTTGTCCTCTGAATCATTCAGATGTTCATTGGCAAACTTCAGACGGGCATGTATATGTGCTTTCTTGAGCAGGGGGACCTTGCGGGCGCTGCAGGATTTCAGTCCTTCACGGCGTAGTGTGTTACCAATTGTTTTCTTGGTGACTGTGGTCCCAGCTGCCTTGAGATCATTGACAAGATCCTCCCGTGTAGTTTTGGGCTGATTCCTCACCGTTCTCATGATCATTGCAACTCCACGAGGTGATATCTTGTATGGAGCCCCAGGCCGAGGGAGATTGACAGTTCTTTTGTGTTTCTTCCATTTGCGAATAATCGCACCAACTGTTGTCACCTTCTTACCAAGCTGCTTGGCAATGGTCTTGTAGCCCATTCCAGCCTTTTGTAGGTCTACAATCTTGTCCCTGACATCCTTGGAGAGCTCTTTGGTCTTGGCCATGGTGGAGAGTTTGGAATGATTGATTGATGGCTTCTGTGGACAGGTGTCTTTTATACGTGTGTAGTACCGTGAATTCACTCGGACGACAACCGTCTTCTTCCACCATCACTTGTATTCCATCGTTCCGTACACACAGTAATTCTCCTCTTCGCGCTCCGCCAACTCCGACACTCCGATTCACCTCAGCACCGTCCGCGCATCCTCTTCCACACACAGTGGTTCTTCCTCTATCTCCTCACACCCAGTGTCTCCGCTATCTCTTCACACGTAGTGACTTCCTCTATCTCCGCACACTCAGTGATCTGTCTGTCTATTCACACACAGTGACTCGATCTATCTCCGCACACACAGTGACTCTATCTGTAACTCTCCCCGTACCTATCTCCTCCGTAACTACCTCTCCGCTAACGCTAACTCTCCCTATCGCTATTTACTGTCCTTTGGGTTCGGCTCTCAATCTATTCTTCCCTAACATTGCCAGCTGTCCTCTTCGTATCTCTCCACCTCTCGCCAACAACTGCCCAACAACAACTCCAACTCCCCGTTCAAATCACCTAGCGTTTAATCCCCTTTCCAATTAGCCTTAATTAATTGCCACGTGGCTCGCTGGCATTTTCCCGCCAGCTCGCACCTGTCCAACGGTCAGAATTCGAGACGCCGCCACTTAACGCTAACAGCCTCTCGACCAATCAGAGCCCTCGTGTCACGACTCCTTTAATTACTTCGGGTTGTTTACGCCACCCGTGACTCGACTACCTGTTCGACCTCATGTGACCCACTCTCCTTGTATGTCTGTATGTACTGTATGTGGCCAATTCCTATGCATATTGTTTACTCCACTACACAGGTAACAAGCTGAGATTAGGAGCACTCCCTTTAAGAGCATGCCCCTAATCTCAGCTCGTTACCTGTGTAGTGGAGTAGGAAGGTGCATAGTGCAAACAGTGATTGCATGGTAACAAAGACAGTACGGGTCATGTTGGGTCAGCCTGTAGCGAAGGCAAATACAGTACAGGTTATGTTAGGGCAATTAAGCTGGGGGAGCCAAGGACGGCTGTGATTGGTTGGTGTTAAGGCTGGAGTGGCGTCTTGAAGTCTGTCGAGGTAACAGGTGCAGAGGGCACGCGAAGCGCCATTGGGACGCGGGTTAATTAATTGGGGGTGTGATGAGAGCATGGATAAATTGGGGAGTCGGAAATTAGAGTGGGGATTTGGAGTTGGGAGCTGGACGAGGCAAGACGTGGAGACAGATTTTGGGGACAGAGTTTGGAGACAGAGTTGGAGACGGAGTTTGGAAACAGAGTGTGGAGCGGAGCTGAAGAAGAGAAGCAGCTAGCAGTAGAGAGAGCGTAACGATAGCGCAGCTGAAGAAGAGAAGTCGCTCGCAGTGGAGAGAGCGTAACGATAGCGGAGCTGAAGAAGAGAAGCAGCTAGCAGTAGAGAGAGCATAACGATAGCGCAGCTGAAGAAGAGAAGCAGCTAGCAGTAGAGAGAGCGTAACGATAGCGCAGCTGAAGAAGAGAAGCAGCTAGCAGTAGAGAGAGCGTAACGATAGCGGAGCTGAGGAAGTGACGTAGTTAGCAGTGGAGAGAGCATAGCGTCGGTGATAGCGGAGAGCAGAGACGAAGTAGCTCGCAGTGGAGAGAGCAAAGTGACGGTGATAGCGGAGAGCAGAGACGAAGTAGTTAGCAGTGGAGAGAGCATAGCGACGGTGATAGCGGAGAGCGGAGACGAAGAAGTTAGCGGTGGAGTAAGCGCAGTGATAGTGGGGAGTGGAGAGACCAAGGTGGCGAGTGAGTCGAGTGAAGCACAGCGAGCGAGCCGTGGCGACATGGAAACTGTGGAATATTGAGGACATGCGGAGAGTTGTAAATAAAGCGGTGTTCGAAGAAAGACAAAAGTTGTCCGAGTGAAATCGAACACTACACCAGTATAAAAGACACCTGGGAGCCAGAAATCTTTCTGATTGAGAGGGGGTCAAATACTTATTTCCCTCATTAAAATGCAAATCAATTTATACAATTTTTGACATGCGTTTTTCTGGATGTTTTTTGTTGTTATTCTGTCTCTCACTGTTCAAATAAACCTACCATTAAAATTATAGACTGATCATTTCTTTGTCAGTGGGCAAACGTACAAAATCAGCAGGGGATCAAATACTTTTCTCCCTCACTAACTTCCCCTATGAAGCAGATGGCGTGGAGCATTTTATACTCAACACTGCTGCAGTAGTACTCGGGGCGGCCTTTCCTAATTGAACTGCTAACCTCTGCGACAAGTGGCGAACGCACTACAACAAACTCCGGGATAAGAAGGCTCAGCTGATCGAGTCTCTCACCTTTCTGAAGAGATGCCGCGACTCTGGGGTAATACCAATCGCATTTACACTGACCTCTGCTGCTGTAACTTCTTCTTATGTGAAACGAATTCTTTTCAAAACTAGCTTAGCTCTTATCTCAGAAAAAAATCAGACTTATACGCACCGAACTAGATCAGTTAGACAAGACACTCTAGAAATCACACTTATCATTGACGGCAACAATGTCCACATCGGATTGGGAACATGTAGACAATATGACTGCCTCTTCAGCTGCTACTATGTCGACCAAATGTAAGGACAACCTGATTTCCAAATTTAACCTCCTCTTCAACAAAAGACCGGACCCACACACCAAAAAGTTAGACGTTAACAAAGTCGTAATTAATCGCAGTAACAGTTCTATTTTCGATGGTCTGAAATCCGTTTTAGCTGAAGGTCTAAACTTTGCAGTCACACCTAAACACATACCAGTTAATGATATAATTGCCCAAGTAGACGTTGCTCTCAGGGGCCTGGGTCACATCGCTGCAGACGTAGCAAGATCTGAAATCGCTGCAACCCTCAAAAACGCTAAGATGCCAGCTAGCAACCTCAGCAAAGATGAGCGTTTTGAATTATATAAATTAAAAAATAGGGATGATATTGTAGTCCTCTCAGCTGACAAGGGCAATGCTACTGTCATCATGGATAAAATAGAATACAACAAAATTAAAGAATTACTCGACGATGGTAGTTATACAAAAATAAAAAGAGATCCCACCAACAGCCTCGTCACACAAACCAACAAAATAATTTCTGATTCAACCGCATTAATTGATCAATCTAAACAGTTTTCGTTGAAACCTTCTGCTGCCAGGCCACCAAGATTATACGGCTTACCAAAAATACATAAAGTAGATACACCCCTTCGTCCCATCGTCTCTACTATCAACTCCCCCACCTACAAACTGGCTTGTTTTTTGTCTGAAATCCTACGTCCTTTCACTGGAAAAACCACCTCTGCGGTACAAAATTCTACTCACCTGGTATCGACAATCAAGGGTATTTCCCTGTCCCCAGACGACCTGCTTGTCAGTTTTGATGTAGTTTCCTTATTCACCAAGGTTCCTGTACCTGACACCATCGCAATCATTGAAGACTTGGTTCATCAAGGACTAAACACTGAGGTACCCCCCTGGTGAGACACTGTTTAACCAATACATACTTCACTTGGAATGGAACTTTCTACAAACAAACTGAGGGCACCCCAATGGGCTCCCCCCTATCTCCGGTTATAGCTAACATTTTCATGGAGAAATTTGAGACTGACGCCATCCAGACTGCCACTCTGCGCCCAACCTTATGGAAGAGGTACGTGGATGACACTTTTGTCATCTGGCCACATGGCCGGCCTGCTCTAGACCAATTATTCGACCACATCAATTCCATACACCCAGCCATCAGATTTACCATGGAAGTCGAAAAAGATGGCAAGCTACCTTTTTTGCATGTCCTAATTAAAAAGAGACCTGATGGTTCAATGAGCCACTCTGTCTACAGGAAAGCTACCCATACGGATGCTTATCTGAAACCGGATTCCCACCACCATCCATCACAGAATTCTTCTCTCATCAAGACTCTGTATCATAGAGCCCAATGCATATCCGACCAGGAACACATAGGCAGTGAACTCAAGCACGTACACCAAGCTCTTAAGGCTAATGGTTACTCCGACTATACAATCCGCAAAGCTATCACTCAAACCATGAAGGACCCTCTTGAGGAGCCTTTCAAAACCATCACTTTACCCTACATTGCGGGGATCACAAAAAAGATCTCCAAAATCTTGAATAAACACAAGATCCAGGTCCGTTTCAACACATTACATAAAATCCGTGATCTGGTTCCGTCTGTAAAAGATGTGATTCCGGACATACAATACCCTAGTGTCTACAAACTAAGTTGCCTCTGTGATAGTAGTTACATTGGAGAAACCAAACGCCATGCCTCGGACCGCATTTGTGAACACAAAGCAGACCTTAAACACGGTAGGACCAACACCTCGGCCATGGCAGATCATTGTTATAATTCAGTAGGCTCACATGACATTGACTTTTCCAAGACAGAGGTTATTTGTAAGCCATCTGGCTTCCATGAGAGATTCGTTCATGAGGCTATCCACATATACAAGCACAGAGACAATTTCAACCGAGAAGATGGATTCTGGCTTAGCGATCATTGGAAGGATTTGATAAACCATTTCGGGTCTTAATTGATTGTTCACGCTTACGGTGGCTTTCAGACAGCATACATTAAATTTTTCGTCTCCCCCCTCCTCTTTTCAGAACATAGATGGACTAGTCCTTCTAAATAAACTGCCAAATCGCTGCGCGTGGTGCTAACGTTTTTTTTATAAATAAATAAATACACCGTTTAAAAATAAATAAATTTATGCAAACCGACACACCTGATGACGACCGTTTGTGTTATGGTCGAAACGTCGTGAGAATTTTTTTTATTGTTCTATATATATATTTTATTATTTATTGTTTCCCTTCAACGTGACTTTACCGAAAGAACTAAGCATATTAACGCACTACTGTTGGGTCATGGTGTAATGATTATATTTTAACCAATTCAGACAAAATCAAGGAAGTACTAAATCAGTCACAATTTACAAGAGTCATTGCATTTGAATTTCAATGTTAGAATGTTTCTGAAAGCATAACTTGTTAGAAGAAACATTAATCAAACAATGAATAATTATGATGAAAAAATGTATAGGCTTTATCCTTACTGGAAAGAATACAAGTGGTGTTAAGATGTTCAAACACCAAAGAGACACCGATCACAAGGCATCAAGTCTGCAATAACCAAACATCATTCTTGTGGTATAACACGCAAACAAACATGCTTTGATAATGTATGCATTGTCCATGAAACGGATTAGCCTACAACAAAATGGATCCAAAAATGAATCATCAAATACAACCTGTAGGGCCTCACACGCCATGCCAGAGTTGAGTTCAGAGAGCAGGTGACGCACACACAACTGGAGAGAGGGGAAGAGAGTGGAAGAGAGTAGTGGCTGTTAATTACACTTATTACACAGTTGTTAACTATGATTAGTGAATTTAGACCCATTAGGGTTTGTACGAATGGAGAGTGATGTTCATTTTAAATTAATAACCAATTATTTAAACTTTTATTCGGGCAACAGAAGTGGAATTGACAATCAAAAAATGTTTTGAGAATTGTTATCTAAATTCATAGCTGCAATTTTATTATTGTGCTCGTTTACTTGGGAAAGCCCGAGTCTCGGGACCCTTTTCCATGGGGATTCTGCCAAGTTTCCGCAGTAGGGGGCGAAGTTGCCATGTATAATCCCAATTGAATAATTTTCAGGTGCATTTTCGCCATTAGGATGTTTTGGTCAATACCAGCTGCATTGTATGTTTAAATTTATTTACCTTCGGCAAGAAATGGCAGAACTCAGATGCAACCCATGCAGAAGAGAGGACAAACTCCACACAGAAAGGTGCCTGAATTGGGAATTCAACTGAGGCCCTTCTTGCTGTGTGGTTCAAGCATCGTCAGTGTGCCACCCTGCCACTCTCAGTATACTTTCTGATTGTGAGTTGGACACAAACTCTGCCATAGCTCCTCCTGGCTGTGTCTACTCAACCGTGAAAACGTCTCCTGTCTTACTGCCACAGCAAGCAAGATGCGTACCTGCCTCAAGTCTTCCACGCCAAACTCAATGGCGTATGTGAGCAGGTCCAGCACCTGCATCTCGCACACACCCCGTGTCTGTAAACCGACCGTACTGGCGTGCAGGCCAGACAGACTGTACTTGTCCTATTAAATCACTGATTAAACTTTTCTCAGCCACCATCAATTCAAAGATAAATTTGCTTTTAATAGTTAATAGCCTCAATAAAGCTCTTCTAGTTAATGAAAACACGTTTAAGAACCAAGAGCTGTTTATCAGTTTTATTTCATTTGAAATACATTTGAATATTGTTGACATTAATTGTACAGCACAATTCACGCAGATCGCATATCAACATGCTGTAAGAGGTGCGGGAAGTTTTGTGGTCCTATATTGGGATGTTTGGTGAACTTAAAAATATATATTTTATACAGGTAGGAGAAAACTAGAGTACCTGGAGAAAGCCCACCCATGTGAGGGAAGGTAACACTCAATACATGTACAGATAGACATTAACCCAATTGCTGTCCTGCCATAATTCCCTGGCAAGCCAAGAGATGACGACCTTGACACATACGTGGAGAGAGTGAGTTTCACAAACATGTGTGATCAACCAACCCTCGCTGACTCCACAGTGCTGCATTACAGGCGACGCGAGCAACAAGCCCAGGTTCCTCTAGATGTACAGGGTGGGCCATACGTAACTACCTGATTTGAAATGTATGCAGAAATAAAGTAGAAGTCTAGGAGTTTATGATGAAATGTTATACACCTCAGCAGCGTGCAATAGTTGAAATTTTTTTCAGAAACAAATTTTCAATTATTTCGACAGTGAGACTCGCAGATATTTAAAGACCCGAACGGCTCCAACTCTGTACTGTATTCGGGCATTAATTTCCTGATTCGGGAACAATGGTGGATGCAAAGCGTGTTGGCAAATATTGAACCAGTCGATCTCTGACTTTTATTGAGCAAGGGAGAGGGTCAATGAAAAAGGGAGAGTGATTGAAAATGCCGTTGAAAGAGCACGGATTTGCCAAAGCAATGCAGGCAGTCATTTACAAGATATTATTTTTCATACATAATTATCTCAAATATCCATGAATTTAATAATTATATATCATTGAGAGTTTGTGTTTTTATTTCATTTTTCAAAAGTCATAGGCAAAACAAATCAGGTAGTTACTTATGGTCCACCCTGTATTATTTATTATATTATGCCCGTGGAGTATTAAGAGTTACATTTTAATGTGCACTTTTATTGAGGGATTGTGTGTATGTCTTGGTGTGGTCTGAGACTTTTTGTTGTTGGTTTGCTGCCTTGCCCAAGCTTGCATTTAGTGTTTAAAAATCGGCAAGAATTTATGTACTTATGCAATTTGTACTTATATACTTTATCTTTATTTTTCGTGACTTAATCACCCTATTCCTACTTTGCACTCATATCGTTTTTTGTATTGTTTGGTGTTGTAACTTACGGACCCGCCCCGAGTGGACATGTGAAAAAAAAATTCAGAGCGCATCGGATTCCTCCAGTCTAAATAATTATTACGATTCTGCGATGTCAGTTTCAGCCGGCCGGCTCTGGATGTGTGCGTGTGCATGGACGTACGTTGGCAGCGCGGAGAGCCACGCGGTTCGTGTAGACAAACTCGAGGAACGCTGGGAAGGTCGCGCTGCAAACGTCCGGCAGCGCCAGGCAAAGCGCGGTACCGTCGCTCGCGGCGGCCGAGTGGCTAAGCATCGCCGCCAGGGCGTCCGACCGTGCGGCAAGAACGCAGCGGTGCGCGCGCACTTCCTGTCGCTCGCTCCCGATCACCAGCGTGATGTCACTGAGAGAGGGCAAGGGCACGGAGAGGTACGAGTAGCCAATGTAATGATCAAGGTCGAGAGGTGATCACGGACAATGCCACGGACGATGTCGCATCAACGCATGTGTCAGATCACACAGCTGTTGCACAGTTGACTATTTGCTTGTTTTTTATATTATATTTTTAACTAGCTTTACTACCCGGCTTCGCCCGAGACCTGGATTCTTGTCTAGGATTAATTTAATATTCCCTTATATTTCACTGAAAAGTCCTGCAAAAATTGATGCTTGCAAGAAAGAAAAAAGCTGAAACAAATTAATTTAACTATATCGGATGTTTTTCACTGAAGGAAATTTAACCTTAACCCACTTATAGGTAAAGTCACGTAGAATGATAATAAAATAATAAATTGATAAAATAAAATAACACAATAATATTCTCACGACGTTTCGGCCACAACACAAGCGGCCTTCATCAGGTGAAGGGGGCGAGACTGTCTGGTAGGACAGCGCTGGAGTGGACACTCCAGCGCTGTCCTACCAGCGCTGTCCTACCAGACAGTCTCGCCCCCTTCACCTGATGAAGGCCGCTTGTGTTGTGGTCGAAACGTCGTGAGAATATTATTGTGTTATTTTATTTTATCAATTTATTATTTTATTATCATTCTACGTGACTTTACCGAAAGAACCAAAGAAGATGAATCATTGCAGTCACGAAAGCTTTAAATCGAAATTTAACCCACTTATACTTAAGGTCGATTTAGGCAACTCGAGAAGGGAATGACGTGGCGAGCTGAAAATAGTCGCGTTCCCTTAGAAATTCCAGACAGCGTAAGCGGTGCAAATTTGATGACGTCAGAGCTCAGCGTTCGAGAGTTTTTGCTGCTTCACACAAACAGATGAATTTTCTGCTTTATATTTAAGAGCGAGCTGAAAATAGTCACGTTGACTTAGAAAATCAAGACAGCTCTGCAGCACTTTTGTGCGGGATACACGGCCTACGCGGAGGGTTTTGGGGGGGGGGGATGCGTGACGTCAGCAGGCACACCGCGTAACGCTGCCGCATGCGGGTGACATCACAGATGTGACGTCAGCGCTCACTTGCCGTGCAAAATATTGCATGAATTATTGCGCCCCCCCAAAATACAACAGTCTATTTTTATACTTTTTGCATTGTGTACAGTTTGGAAGCTACCCACGTGCCAAATTTCAAGTTTGTTGCACGTCGGGAAGTATGCTAAACATTTCGAACAAACACACATTCACAAATTTCCCTTTTATATATATAGATTGCTACAGAGTTGTACTGTACTTGTGATTATTTTATTGCTAGTCATTTTGGAGACACAGGTCACTCTTGCAAATTAGGCTACGCTAGTCTCTTGAATTATTTCCTGTTAACATTTTAAATGTATACTTGCATCGGAACTCCAACGTCAGAAATTGAAATTTCCCACCCATCCGGCGTTTTGATTCCCCAGGCTCAGTTGTAGACTGTTGCATGCCACTCCGAACGCAAATGCCTCTTCCTCGTACAATCCACAAAGCTTTCATGAGCAATTTTATTCGTACTTCCCAAGTTATTTATCTAGTGCTTTCAAACTGCTAACATCCTGTACACACGCTTGCTTTCAGGGGCTGGAACCTTATGTTCTATCTGCATTGTTAAAGTCTCGCTCTGATCAACACAGCAGCAGATATATCACTGATGCAAAGGAGATTGAAATAATGAAATATTTCCCTTTGACTTGATCATTTGTCTTACCCGCTCTGCCTTTTATAATCACCCAGTGCATAAATTGAGCACCAGTTAAACATCACACATTGTCCCAGAAGAGAAACTTCGTGTCCAAATTAATATCTTACAGTTTAACACGTAGGCTTTCGCGACCAATATTATTCATAATAAAGGTTTTTGGGATAGATCGCGTTATTTATAAATGTGTATATCGGATTAATTGTTTATGTGGCAGATGCTATATTGGACAGACGGGACGTAACATCAGGATAAGACTAAAAGAACACCAAAGAAATATTAAATTATCTCAAACACAACTGTCGGCAGTGGCAGAACATGCTTATCAACAAGGACACTCAATTGATTTTGATAACGTTGAAGTGTTGTGTAAAACTAATTATTACTGGCAAAGACTAATTAGAGAATCCATTGAAATTGAGAGAAACAGAAATAACTTTAATCGTTCTGATAGCTATAGGCTTAGTGCAGCTTGGAAGCGTATTATTAAATAATACATATTACAATTCCTTATAGGGGAAACACATTAATTAACGGATTACTAATGTAGCATATAATCACAATAACACACATTACAACTAATTACTAATCTACAACTCATTACTAATCATAACCATTGACTGATTACCAATCGATTATATAATTACAATACCCCCCCTCCGCCTCAAATCACTGCACCTGAAATGAGTTAAATGATGACGTCACACTGCTGCTCTATTTAAGACCGGGAGCAAGTGAGGGCTTTACCATTCTGGCGAATTGCCCGATGATGCTGGATGTAATTACCAGCGAAATGTCGTATTCAAACTGTAAATGCTGTGGATTCACTCTTCAACACACTGGTGGGCTAAAGTAGTGAACTAATTGTATTTTGTCAACGTGACACTTTTTTTTGCTGATTGGCCGTGTCGGGTGGTGGAGGGTTACGACACATTTAGAAATAATGCGATCTAACCCAAAAACCTTTATTATGATTAATGTCTTATAGTTGAATCTCATTTGTCTTTCCACTACGACAGTATGTGGCCACGCTGCCACCTGTTCAGATTTGATCTGGACAGTCATCAGGGCTTGGCATATCAGAATCAGATTATTTATTTTGACTGCGGGAGTCCTATGAGCGATGAAGCTCTTTTTCACAGATGTCCAGTAGGGGCGGGTCAGCAATTTACGTATATAAGTACAAATCGGATATGTACATAAATTCCTGCCGATATTTCAACACTCAATGCAAATTTGAGCAAAGCAGCAAAACAACAAAAACAGTCCCAGACCACATCAAGACAACACACAGTCCCTCAATGAAATAGCACATTAAATTTGAATTATCGATACAATAGGAAAGACGTCCTTCACGAGCCTCCTCCACATTAGCCGATCTTAACACTGCTGGTACCGTCGTACAAGTCCACTCAGCTCCACATCCTTCAGTACCACATCACTCCATCTCTTCTTTAGCCCGTGCCACGCCCGTTTAACCCCCTCGACCCGGCCAAACGCCACTGGAGATCCCATAGGACGGTCACAGGCAGACGGGTCTCATCCAAAACTAAGACGCGCCTTCAGCCCAGTTATAACGTTTCCACATTTCGATTTAAAGCTTTCGCGACTGCAGGGATTCATCTTCTTGGTTCTTTCGGTAAAGTCACGTAGAATGGAAATAAAATAATAAAAATAAAACATAATAACAATAAAATTCTCACGACGTTTCGGCCACAACACAAGTAGCCTTCCTCAGGTGAAGAAACAGGACTGTCGGGAAGACAGCGGTTGAGTGAACACTGCCAAGCTTGGCAGCGTCTTTTAAGCTGTGTGGGAGGAACAGAGCGCCTTGACAAAGGAGTTTACAGTGAGGGAAAAAAGTATTTGATCCCCTGCTGATTCTGTACTTTTGCCCACTGACAAAGAAATGATTAGTCTATAATTTTAATGGTAGGTTTATTTGAACAGTGAGAGAGAACAACAAGAAAATCCAGAAAAACGCATGCCAAAAATGTTATAAATTGATTTGTATTTTAATGAGGGAAATAAGTATTTGACCCCCTCTCAATCAGAAAGATTTCTGGCTCCCAGGTGTCTTTTAATAGGGTAATGAGCTGAGATTAGAAGCACACTCTTAAAGGGAGGGCTCCTAATCTCAGCTTGTTACCTGTATAAAAGACACTTGTCCACAGAAGCAATCAATCAGATTCCAAACTCTCCACCATGGCCAAGACCAGAGAGCTCTCCAAGGATGTCAGGGACAAGATTGTAGACCTACACAAGGCTGGAATGGCCTACGAGACCATTGGCAAGCAGCTTGGTGAGGTGACAACAGTTGGTGCGATTATTCGCAAATGGAAGAAACACAAAAGAACTGTCAATCTCCCTCGGCCTGGGGCTCCAGGCCGAGGGAGGTTTATTTGAACAGTGAGAGACAGAATAACAACAAAATCCAGAAAAACGCATGTCAAAAATGTTATAAATTGATTTGCATTTTAATGAGGGAAATAAGTATTTGACCCCTCTGCAAAACATGACTTAGTACTTGGTGGCAAAACCCTTGTTGGCAATCACAGAGGTCAGACGTTTCTTGTAGTTGGCCACCAGGTTTGCACACATCTCAGGAGGGATTGTGTCCCACTCCTCTTTGCAGATCTTCTCCAAGTCTAGATTTAAAGCTTTCGTGACTGCAAGGATCCATACTCTTTGGTTCTATTCGGTAAAGTCACGTAGGTAAAAAATAAAACAACAAAAATCACGATGTTTCGGCCACAACACAAGCGGCCTTCATCAGGTGAAGGGACCAGGCTGTCTCGAGGACAGCGCTGGAGTGAAACACAGCCATGCTCAGACCGCGACCTTTAAGCTGTGTGCGAGGAAACAAGGTGCCTTGACAAAGGAATTAGCATAGAAATTAGCATTTGATTGGCCGACTTAGCATGATGAACGGTGTAGAGGTGGTGTGCATGCGGGTGAACATGCCGGTTGGCGAGGGGGGGAGTGGGGGAGTTTACCTATTGATGGTGTGAAAAGGGATTTTTTTTTTAAGAGCTGCGAAAGTTTGGGGTAGCACTACTTGAAAAATATACTGTACCATTGAAATTAGTTTAATGTTTGGTTCGATTTAGAACATCTTTCCAATGGTTGCTTAATTTGAAACCATCTTCTTGGTTGAAATTGTCTGTGTTTGTAGATCTGAATTGCCTCGTGAACAAATCTCTGATAAAAACCCGTGGGTTTGCAAAGAACCTTGGTATCGGAGAAAATGATATCGTGATCACCCA